TAGACTTTGCAAAAGTGTTTCCAATTTAGTGCCCCATAGGCAGATATCTCTCATCAAAGATTTGATTTGAGTGTGAACAACCACTTATGTTTTGCACTATTTTTATAAAAAATTATTTCATTGCTTCAGAATACATGGATTAAACCACTAGAGTTGTATGGATTACGTATACGCTTCCTCTATGTCCTTTTTGGAGCTACTATTTCTTGAAATATACTGTACATTCAATTGCGCAAGTAGAATTATTTAACATTGATCAGGCACCACTAATTTTGATTGTGCATGACATTCAAAGTGCATGCATTTTATCAGTGTTGCATTATTTGATTTACATATGCTTTCACAAAGAACCAATCCACGCCATGATGCTACTGGATCCTTTTAGTTCATCAGTGGTCTTGTATTTTGCCTTATATCTGTTACCTTGGTTGATTTTTGTATGGTGAAATCATCAGTGTGCAGCTTCAGGGTTTGTGTGATGCCTCCGAGAAATGCAAATCTACCAGAACCACCCGCAGGATAATCAGATCTTATTAGAGCAGAAGCGATCATAAATTGTGTCAAATCCTCAGTATGTCCTGATCCACAGATAATGATGAAAGTTTACAGAACACCAAATCTCAAACCCCCACACTGCTTAACGTTTAGATTATGAAAACTCTTTTCCATGGTGCCTGAGGAACCTTACACGGTAAAAAATGACAGTGAATTTAACGGTAAAAGACTGTAAAAAATGCTACAGTAAAACCCAGTTAAATGGTTAACGGTAAATTCCCCTACTATATTTGGTGAAAAACTGTATTGGACATTACATGTGATTTTACGGTAGTATACCGTTTTTGGAAGTGAAAAAGACAAAAATTGACATTCCCAGAATTCCCTGCGTTACATTTCAAATTTGATGTGTTTTTTGTTGTTGAAATAACTATGCTTCGTCTTTCGGCAACCACAGCTGCCGTTTTTTTATCGTAAATTTTACCGATTTTTTTTTTACAGTGTAAAGTCTCCCAGCAAAGCATTTGTAAATGGGAATTTCAACTATGGCAGGATGATTCAGCAGTTGATTACCGTACAATCACATGAGAATCAGAGTTTGACAGAGAAAGAGCTGGATGGATGAAGGTGTCTCGGTGTGGAGCGAAACCTTCTCCCTTCTTTCCAATTTTATGGACTGGAACTTCAGTTGAACTGGAACAGATTGTAATGGAATGGGATGCAAGAGTTAAAGCCATATATGTCACACAAGAGGGCATGGAGAGCCAAAAGTTTTGTGGAAAAGCACAATAGCATGAAAAGTACAATCTGTATCCGTTCCATCTGTCCATTGGGGTGTACGACTAATCGCACGCATATATACAGTACGTCTGTATGTATACTCTATTTTGTCAAGCTTATTCTAGTTCCCCCTGCTTCTCTGACTCTTTCAATCTTGTTTTTGCTTGGCTGTCATGGTGACATATGTTTAGTTCGCATCTGTCCTAGCTTCGGGCGAGCCCCCATGCTGAGTCGCTCAAGCTCTGGATGCTGCGTTGCCATGGAGAGCAGCTTGCAATTACAATAGCACTGGTGTAGTGAGCAGGTGATATCAAAACTGCACTTTCGCCAACTGCCAAGGGCCTCATGCACACTATGGTAATAGTGGACAGAAACTGATGCGTAGCACATTGTAACGTGCTTGATCATGTTCATGTGGTGATGCTGAGCTTCAGCAGAATAAAACGAATGCTGGAATTGTGTTTATGTAGATTTTTCAGTGAACTCGGTGTAAAATGTAGTCACTAAAGAAAGCTGTTTATTTTAGATTTGTGGATTACACACATCAATCCTCCCATAAGCATAAGGGACCCCCCATAACATCCAACAAAATATGCTCGGGGTGTCCCCTGGTTTTTCAATAAAACTATAATACTTGAAACATGAAACTAGTGAAAATGAAAATTAAATGAATAGTTTCGATTGCTGTATTAAATTTAGACTTGCTCATGTTACATATTTTATTTTTAGACATTTTTACAGCGTTGCTCATTATAACCAATCAAATCAAGATTCTGTTGAGCTTAGGAATGCAGTGGCCAATCAGAGGCGTTCGGATTGATTCAGACTGAAACTCGCAAATTCCCTCATCATAAGCAACAAAGTGCAGATGTACATACGATGTAAGATATTCATTTATCATACAGTGTATGGACAGCTTCATTGATTATAAGAGGAGTTATGAGTGCTTACACACTAGCTGCTAGACTGACTGCTCATTTAAGAGTGCGTTCTTTAACTGTTCTTTAACTGCATGATTCAGTCTAATAAAATGCACTTAGAATGCTCCCAAAATTCAAGATATGGGGACAGAAAATTTATACATTTACATAATTTCATATAGTTAATAAATATCACACGACGAGTGCCAAATTTTATATTGATTTTATACAATTCAATAAACTAGGTCAATATTAAGAGACTTACGTTTTAGACAGCATATTGCCTAGTTTTGCTCAATTTCGCCAACAAATGGTTCCAAATACAGCCACTGTGCTGTTTTGCATCTCATAGCAACATGACGGTATTTCGTTCCTGAATGAATCAACCGTTTATATGAGCAATGACTCACTTATTAATAGTGACTTGCTGCCACCTACTGGCAGTATTAATTTCACATTTAAAGTATATTTAAACAATTTTTTAAAATTGATTCAAATATCAGTAGTCAACGTTTTAGGATTAAAATATTAAAACATTATTTATGCATTTGGTACTGCAGGTTAAAGCACCCCTAAATGTCCCTCTAAGCTGCATTGTAAATTCATCTAAATGCCACTTCAGATGCAACTTTTGTGTTTACTCTGCATTGCAAAGTTGAATTTTGTTGATAATGATTTTATTTGTTTGGTAACAGCCTCAAATTTCGTACTATTCTAATTGACTTTATTGATTAAATATAAGAATTTGACACAAAAGATTAAAAAAACCTCTAAAAAAATGGAATAAATCTCTTTAAACTGGCTGAAAAAGATTGATTTCTGTCACAGCTGTGAACTGACCATCACACAGAATATGAAACATATCAAAACCCCCCCCCCAAAGAATCGTATTTATATTTTATAGTTTTATTTTATTTATTTATTGAAGTGTGTGTGGTGGTGGGGGTCTGGTTAAGGGGACCCCCCAAGAGCTTTGACACAATTTGAACACTGGGTCACTGAGCTTATTTTCTTTTCTATTACTTCTATTACTTTCTATCTTGGGAATCTTTCGACTTGAGCAGCAAGTAACCACCTAGCAACAAACTACATAGCTACATGTTGAAATTATTCCGACCACATTTGCCACACCCTGGTGATGGAGTTTTCTTAAAAAAAAAAAAATAAAAATATATAT